CTATTCGTTCTCTTTGTTTAGAAGAAATTTATATTTTTAAGAGATGATTTTAATGTTTTAATAATTTTACTTTTTTTTTAAGATAATAAGGAATATAATAATAAAATATGTATATGTAAAGTAATAAAAATATATAAGTTTATGTGCAAAAATTATATAGAATGAAGTTTGTTTTTATATATTATATATATACATACACGTATATGTAGATATACATATAAAAAAGAATCTTTAATTATAACGAGCTAAAATATTGTAAGATATCTAATAAAATTATCTTACTATTTTAACAATTTTACTCTTCGTTTATTATTCAGAAAGCAATAGTCCGTATTACATATATTATAGCATTAATGTAATATATTGAAAAAAAATTACTATAAAATTCCTATATATGTAATTATATTATACAATACACATTATACACAATATCATTGGTGAAAAAAGTATTGTGATTATCTTATTAGAATACGTAAGTTTTGTAAATTTGCTAGAAACTAAACTAGAAACTAACCAATATAAAAAGAAATGATGGAAACATTTTCACTATTGCTGAATTTAATTTTATGATTCAATGAATATTTTAAATAAATTCAGAGAAATAAAATCTGATAATAAAACAAATCTAACAAAAAATTTATTAAAATAAATAAAAGATAATAAACATTATAGAATATAAATAGTTAAATCTTTTAAATATTAGTAGTAGACTGTCAAACCACTTGCACTACAGTGTATAAATTTGCACATTCCGTTAATATCATTCGATAAATAAGTTTTAAAATATATTAATATTATTAAAATGATTTGATTTTTTATTATATCATAGAAGATATATGTATATATCATTTTAATAATGCAGACGATATATATTTGTATAAGTTTGTTAATCAGCATATCATTAGCTTTTGGGGTTAGTATTTCAATTTATTATAATTTTCAATACATATTTTACTACACATTTTAACGAAATAGTCACCAAAATTTCAGAGTGAACTTGATTATGATGGCTGGTTGCAATTACGATTATGGCACGCATTTAACGATGAACCAGAGCCGATTTTCATAGAACGAGGTAATATTACAGTATCAAGTGTTCGTAGCGGTGCCTCTGTTATTGGACAAAATGGACTGCTGCAATCCCATATAAATGAACTAAAAAATCTTGCCAAAAATGATGGCAAATATAGACTTAAAGCAATAGCTCGAACTTCTTCAGGAAATGAAATAACATTTTTATCTTCTGTACCTGCGGTAATTATATTTTTTAGCACTTTTATATTATATATCTGTATTTTATTTATAATCTTTTTTCTATTTAGTGTTATCTTCTTGGTTCTGATCTTGAAGATGTCATAACAATTTGGCTAGATAGTGCAGCGGAACCAATAGTTGTCAGCATATCATCACCTGGCCCTTGCAGTATAGAGAATCCATTTACAAATATGTGGACAACTAATGTTGTTGTTAAATACCCTGATGGTGGACCAGTTCCAGACACTGCTACATATATTCAAAAACTTGAACGTGAAAGAGAAGCAAGAGAAAGAGGAGAGGCAAAAGATAACAGATCTTTCCTTGCAAGATATGTAGGTTTATTATTGTAAATAATATTTGTATATAATACATTGTAAAATATTATTTATTGCATTTCAGTGGATGTATATTGTTCCTGCATTGATCTTTGTTATTTTATCATCTGCAACAAATCCAGAAGCTGGAGGAGCAGCAGGTGGCAGTGCTCAAAGACAGTAACTTAAAGTGTCTGTGGTGCCTCCAAGAGTGCTTGTGTTGAATCTTTTATTTATAAACTTACAATATACTTTCATAATTACAATTGTAAAAATATAATTGTATCTTTTTCTGAATAAATTCTATGATTTAATTAAATTTTTTTTATTTATTTTTTACTATTCTAAATTTATGTAATATTGTGTAAAATGAAAGTCTTTCGCAATGTAGTACATGTATCTGTATGTTATAATATATTTTTTTCCTAACTTAAAGGCAACTATTATAATTGTATATCACTATTATATATAGTTTAGTCTTCTAGGTAAAGTTCACAGGTAAGGCAAGAAAAGATCAATAATCTACCATCCAATGAACAAAGCCACAAACTGTTACCATTATGTATTAGAATATTTGTAATTTATCAGGCTGAAAAATGGCAGCTTTTTCTCTGAATATTCAGAAACATGTAGAACCAGGTCTTGTAACTTCAGGTAAATTTGATGGTTCTCATGCTTGTCTAGCGGCTGCAACATATGGTGGAAATATTTTGGTGCACAGTCCTCATAGACAACCACAAATAACCGATCATGACCACGAACAGTCCGATAGAAAATTATTTTGGAGCGGAGAGCTCGCTGAACTTAAAATAGGAAGTGAGGTATTAATCAAATAATTATACATTTTTAAAAATTAAAATATTAAATTTTAATAAAATTTAATTTTGCAAATTTATTAATATGTAAATAAATCGCTAGATTATTGCATTATGCACTGGTCGACTTAACGAAGATGAGAGAGATATCCTTCTAATTGGAACTGCATCTCATGTTCTGGCTTATCATATAGAAGACAACTCTGATATTTTTTATAAAGAGGTATCCTAATCATATTCATAATCAAATTTATTTCGAAAAAAGTATAAAGAATTTAAATTATTTTTACGAATAGATGTCTGATGGTGCAAGATGCATACTTATTGGCAAATTGAGTTGGCTTCCAAATCAAGTTGCAATCGTCGGCGGTAATTGTTCTGTAACAATTTTAGATTCGCAAGGCGTAGAAATATTTTGGACAGTAGTAGGAGGAATTGTTAGTTCATTAGCCGTTTTTGATTTCGATGGAGATGAAGAAAATGAGGTAAAGTACGATAAAAAAAAAAAATTCTTAAAAATCTTAATAAGAATCAACGAATGAAAGAATGTACAATAAATATCTAGTTGATCGTTGGAACGAAAGATTTTGAAATAAAAGTATACAAGAAAGATAATCTGCTCTGGGATGCTAAAGAAACAGCTTCCATTACCACTTTAATTGGTCTACCTCATAGAAGATTTGTTTATTCAGTAGGAAATGGAACCCTTGGTGTCTATGAAATGGCTCAAAGATTATGGCGTGTCAAGGTCAGTCTAAATTGAAATCAATAAAAATTATAAATGGAAAAATATATGATAAATTTTTCAGTCAAAGCACAGAGTAGTAATTACAAGAAGCTTTGATTTGAACGGAGACGGTTTACTAGAAGTCATAACTGGTTGGAATAATGGAAAAGTAGACGCGAGATTATCCAATAATGGAGAAGTAATTTTTAAAATTCAATTATCCGCTGGAATAGCTGGAATTGTTGAAGCTGATTACAGAAGAATTGGCAAATCCGATTTAGTCATAGTATCTTCTACTGGAGAAGGTAGATTAAATTGCATGAAAAAATGAACAAAGGAAATAGTTTTGCTTTATTTTTAAATGATATTAATTTTAGTGCGTGGTTATAGTTCTGGCTCCACAATGGATACACCAGAACCAGGTGAAGCTATGCGTGATTTGTTGGCCAAGAAACAAATACTTCAAATGGAAATTAGGCAGAGAACTGCATCAGTTCCGAATATGTATCATGGAACAAAATTAGCTGTTAGCTTGATGAGTGCTGAAGGTGCGGCTCGTGTTGCCCTTGCTTCAGGACCTGGACTTTTTGTAAGCGATTCAATTCTCGTACAAAATTTTTTCTTTTTTTTTTGAAAATTTATCATTAAAAAAGAAAAGAAAATATAAATGGAATAAGAATATATATAATGAACTTTCAATGTTGATAGATACATTGTGCAATAGTTTTCACTGAAGGAGTGTTCGAAGGCGAAACTTTGGTGGTCCATCCCAGTAGACCTAAAGGAGAACTTGAAATAGAGCTTCGTCCTCCTAAGAATAATCCTGTGGATCTCCATGTGAAAGTATGCGTTGGTCCAGCTGGTGCAGATCTACTACAGGTATTAAATGAAAATGAAAAAATTTCAAAATTTATTTTAATGTAACTTTTTTCCTTTCATGAAGGTATTCGAAATGACACGTCAATTGCCTAGATTTTGCATGTACCAGATCATTGAGAAACCTCAACAAATTCCAGAGGATTTTACGAAAAATAGTGTTACAGCTGAGGTATTTATTTGTCTTATCGTATTAATAATCAAAAGTATATTAATTTTTTTTTTTTAAAAAGAATCATAAATGAAGTTATAAATATTTTTCTGCTCAATTAGCTCGCAGAAAGACCTCAAAGAATCGCCCTCTGGTTGAACCAAAGTCTCATCCTCCCTGAAGAATTCGAAATTAAAGAGGATAAGCCAAACAATGGAAACATGGAGATATGGCTTCGAGGAATGAGAGATAACAAAATTCATTGTTTCATGGTAGACGCAACTGGGAAATTAACTATCCAAACGGAGGATTCTACATTTGCTGGCGACATTATTCAATCTTTAGCTCTATACTTGGGTCTCAGAGAACTTTCTTCCGAGGTCTCATTTCCGGTTGAAGAGAAAAAATTATTGGACGCTCTGGAACGTGTCAAAGGTTAATATAAATAAATCACATCACATTTCTTACAAGAGTATTGAAAGATAATTATTAATTTATTACAGAACTAAAGGAAATTGATGCTAAACTGCAAGCAGAGACTGCCAATGAGACTACTTTATTGAAGAATATTATAATTCGTCTGGAGGATGCGAGAATTCTCGAGAATATCGATGAAATGAGAAAGAGACTTGTACAATTGAAAAATGTTAACGCTGATCTAATCAGGGAATATGAAATCAGGATGAAGAGCTATCGCGAATTTACAGCGAATTTAAAGGAGCTTAATCTTGGAGTTCAACGTGCAGCTAGATTAAGAGGTAATATATTTCTTTCTTATCTTTTTTCAAAAATTGTTATTTGAATTTTTCAGTCGGAAAAAGTGCCTCGAATACCGTAGCCAATTGCAGAGCTGCGATCCAGGATGAAAATTCGAAAGCTCTTGTGATTGCAATAAGACATGGATGAATTTTAACATTGTACCTTATAATATTCACATCAATGAACATTATTTTATACAAATTTTATTTTTTTTCATGTTTATTATACACATTCAAGAAATAACAATAATAAGATCATTCATAAGAGAAAGTATTGTAGAAGATATTGTAAATTTTATTAACTATTTACATTTAGATCAAAATTTAAAAAAGATTGTTCATTCAAAGACCTATATTTTTAAAAGGAGATGCAAATTGACGAATCTTATTGACTTACAATCAAATTTAAACAATTTCAAAAAATATATCTCAAGGTATAATACAAGGGAAATTGACAATCAACAATCAACAATTTCTAAAACACGAAGAATTAGAACACAAACTTCCCATCGAGGTACATAAATTGAGCTCTGAGGTCTCTTTTAGTCAATGAAGCGTTCCTCGAACTGATATACTGAATCTTCTTTTGAGAGGTATAGGCGATGGACGTCGAAGAGCGTCCAATGTTCCATCGGTGGAAGCTCTTACCCTGAAGGAATTCGTTTGTTGGCCAGAATTACCGGGCAATTCCGTCAACAGTTTAAAGATGTCTGTGAAGACGGCCATGACCTGTCGAATAAAAATAATCGGGCCAGTCTGTTGCTATCGTTACATAACCCCGTCGAGATTATCTTATTAAGCAGCTATCACAATTATACTTTACATATTTTTCTCTCATAATCTACTTTAAAAACCGTTCGCATTATCACTCGCCATTTTTTCATTCGTACCCCGTGCCGTGGTTCGTGACACGTGTAGGATCATCGATCTCGTTTTCTCGTTTTTCCTTTCTGTACTAGATTTCTTCTTAGCAATATAACAAACTACAGTGTATAACGATTTAAAGAAAATTCAAATTGAAAGATACATATACATAGTTACGATTCTAAATTAATCTCCATATAAAAATTTAATTTTACATTGAATTCATTTTTCGTTTATTCCTAAAAATTATTTCTATTAATTTATTATCGTTTATTTATAAATTTTATCTTTTAACAAATTTTCCATTTTCTATGACTTTTATTACACTTCTCTAAACAAATCAATAGAAACAGATAAATTTCTAAAATATACACAGGAGAGCTTAATACTTAATTAATAATCTCCAAACTTCATCTATATCTTCTCAAAATAAGAAAAGAAAAAAAAAGAAGTGCAAAGTGTGAAGAAATGTGAACAAATCCTAATCTCCAGAGGCCGTAAATAGTTGTGGTCCCACGATTAAGTCCAAGCTTAGGGGTAATTAATTGTGAAACAAATTTTTAATTACGGCACATTTACGATACCGATAACACGATCGAAGATGCTCCGGCGGTATCTCTCTTGCGTTCCGTTCGTTCCACGATACAGATTTTGTTTACCACTGCTTGATCACGCGTAAACGCCATGACCGGTTTCCCAGAGGAGTAAACAATCGTTTTAGAAAAATAACGAAGATTAGGTACGGTCGCGAGACAAAGCTTGAAACGATCGATCCGCCAAAACTCTGACCGCTCCTCCTCTTTCATACGCCATCCAAATAGGCGAGCAATGGCAGAAGAAGAGGGGCATCTTCAGCCAGCTGAGAGATTTCCAATCGGGCGGACTTTTTTTCGCGATCGATGACGTATATTCGCATACATACGTCAACGATTCTCAATGTCTCTTCATATCGAGACCCCACGAATAATTCAGCTCGTTTCGGAGATAGTGAAAACGTTTGGATCTGCTTGTCTGCCAGAAGCTTTCGATGACGTGGTGTTGCGTCTAGTTGTGGTGAATTTTAAAAAATGTTACGAGGATGTGTTTTCGTTCTGCATTGTCATCATTTGGGATGATATTGTAAAAATATTTGAATTTTAAGAGAATAATTAATTTCAAGAGAATGCAATTTTGTTTGTCTTGGCAAGTCTTTTGTATCTGATTTTGACAAATTTTAGTACATATAGAGGAAATGCATATCGTTGTTATTGCAAAAGTATTTAATTTTGATAAAATTTAAAGCTTGCAATCGTCAGTTTTCGTGATGATCGATGACGTGATCTGTTTGTCACTGGTAAATTTTTAGAAAGTCGAGGAAGTGTATTCATTATCAATTGTTATCTGAGAGAGATAGGATGTTTTAAATAAAGTATTCGATGATTTTGAGAATGTTTGATTTTAAAGGCTTGCAAGATAGAAGGAAATGGGTTACGAAATGGATTTGGCAATCGATCTTTTATGCAATAAATCTGTTGCAATTGTTACCTTATGCTATAGCCGTTAGATGATAATTTACACGTCGGATAGCCTGTGTCTTAGCCCTTGCCACTTAAGGTTAAATGTACGATGTCAGTGTGAGCGTTACGTCAAAAGCTTGTTGTTTTATCGTGTCAACGACTGTTGATTTTTCCAAAGTGAACGACCTAATGCTATGTCATCACGAATATTATGACTATGACTCGAAAATAGCATTATATCACATTCTGTTATTAAATGTTTTATCTACATTTTATTATTGTTTTGTAATTCGAAAGATTCAATATTTTTCATTTTTTTTTTTTAATAAAATTGAAATATACTGAGAAAACTTTAATAGCAAAGTTCATGACTCGATTTATATTTTTCCATATAAATATCTTCGTTAATCTTTTTCAAGGTCAAGCACATCGATACAGCATTGACATTGAATTTATTAATGTTCATCTAACTATAGGGGATGAAGGTTGAGACGAAGGGTATCGTATATAATGAATTCGATTGAATAGAAAGAACGGGAAATGGAAATTTTAATGTTACCTGTTCGACTGATTCCCTGACAGAAATTTCATGAAACGCTTGAGCCTCGATTTCTTCCGCTCTTTGACGACCTTCTGCGGTGGAAACCACCCTTTCGCCAGGTGTATAAGTTAGATCTGCTTTGTTCGCTATGAGGATCACTATCGGTGGCACTTTCCTAGTTTTCCTTGCATGTGATACTAGAAATCTGGAATAAATATTATGCAGAATACAATCATGATGTATACTTAAAAAAATGATTGAAAGATATAATTATAATCCACTATTTCTACTGTCTTCTAGATTTGCCCTTTCTTTAATCGATGTTTCTTTGACATTTATTGCGTAATATATTCATCCCTTCGATATTTAATTTAAAAATAGAGTGAAAGTCAATTATGTTTATTCGCACACGAGTTGGTAAATTATTTATCCCTTATTTAATCGTTAGATTACTGTTAACAAACAAACAGGTTATTTATTATAGATTAGACAATATTGTTGTTCAATGTATTTCCTCACCGAAGGCGGGATGTTTCGTCGAAGCTGACACGATCCGACACAGAATAAACGAGAACGATAGCATCTGCAAACCGCAATTTCAACTCGGACGGAGGTGGTAGATATCCTGGGGGATCTGTTATCTCCCATGACGCATCCAGGAAACTGTCCACCTTGTAAACCCTTTCGATGCTACAGTCGTACTCTCCTATGTAACGTTTTGTAGCGAATCGCACCGCTAAAGCTAAAAATATTTATATTGTTATCTTAGAATCGTTGATTCTATTATCAGAACTTTTCTATTGTTTTGTATTGTTTTCTTTTTTTTTATCGTTTCTCTCAAAAAGCGTAAAATTTGGGAAATCGAAAGTACAAATATTTGAAAGGGGTTAAGAAATATTGAAAATCAAAAATACGTAACAAATTTTAAAATATTTCAAAAATATACTATATATCGAGAAAATTTGAAAATGAAGATATTATAGCCAAATTCGAACTAAGATTTGAAGATATCAAATTTTGGATATTTACCAGTTTTTCCAACACCCTGATGACCAAGCAGGATCACTTTGATAATCCTCGGCTCCTTGGTGGTAAGACCAAGATTCCAGGCAATCGGAGGGCTGATTCTCTTTTTCAACGACGCCGCTGGTGGACTGAATCTCTCCATGACTTGACCGCCACTGCGTTCCTTGTAGGGTGTCTCATCGATTATGAACCCTCTCTTTTACCCGCCGATATTTAATAAACGCGTTTTATCATGCACGCATCCCTCGAACTATCCTTTTCTTTCGTTGACCCGTAACAAACGATATCTTTTTTTTCCTCGCATTTATTTATTAACTCCATATTTGCATATTTCACTATTACATTATATTTGTGCATTATAATAAATTAAATATTTATTCTTCGCAATTTTGAGTTTTTGTAATGGTCAATTATAATATACTATTTTATTATTTTTTTTATCTACAGATATTTATTTTGTAAAAGGTTAAATTATATCCCACGCCTGTTTTTTCCAGAGTTGAGATATTTTTATTTTTTCTTATTGTATTCAAGGCGTTTAATGTAGAAAGTTTATCAACTTTGGAGTATCCAATTCACTCGATAATCAATTATTTGGGTAATACGGTTACAGGGATCATACGATTTCGAATGAGCACGTGCTTCGAATTCTGTTTTAAGAATTTATCAAATATTTCTTTGCTTATACATGTGATTGTCAGTTTAATAAGTACACGAAAGAACTAAAAATATAATAAAAATCGGTGATAATTGGTCAGGAAAGAAAAATTCCTTCGCGATTACGATTCTATGTATATTCACTCATCAAAAAAAAAAAACGAATGTAAAACGAATACAAATAATATAAAAGTTACGTTAAAATTTTCAAATTGATACATTGGTTAAGATATATTTTCACATCATTCTTATATATATATATAAAATTTATTTATACACGAAGTATCATCTATACAAAAGTATCATTTTGTGATATAAAAATGTAGCAATTCTGTATTCTTATCCTAAACCTCTTATCGAAAACTCCAAATTTTAAGCCTCCTCATCAAAACTTCGAAGAAGACAGAAGAATCGAACAAATTTTCCTCGACTCGTAGATCCTCACGATGCACGTGAATTTCAATTTTCGATATTCTCATTTACGTACGTGTTACTTGGACGCCAGGATCTCGAGCAAAGGTCATTACACATAGGCTTAATCAAGATGCCGCTTGTATCAATGCCGCTAGGTCAAACGGTTTCGCAATTCGCGACCCTCCTCCTGGATGGAATAAAACCGGACATCGTGGCTGGTGCACCCGGTTAAATCATATGATTCTGCGACCTGGCTCGTTCGAAAGACCGGCACGCGTCCACGCGGTTATTATTACTTTTATGTAAGAGGCGGGTAGGGGGAGAGGGCCGATAGACGAGGGCGCTTTTATCACGCTTTCGTCACGCTGAACGACAGAACGATTGTCCAGGATCCGAGTGACTCACCGGCGCTTCGATTTCCACACGTGGTTTTTCAGACGACAAACACTTTCCTTTTTTTCATTTTTATCGATTTGAGATCGATATTTGAGATTCGATGGAGGAAATGATCGATCGTTGTATAAATTATTGGGATGATACGATTCGATGGAATGGAATTTTGAAAATAAATATTTAATGTAAATGATTTAATATAAGTGATCGACTGCAGCAGGGAATTCATTGGACAGCTATGGTGGTTCAGAAATATTTTTTGTTTCTCCTTGAACATAAAATAGTCTTTTCAGATTAATTTTGACTTTTCATTAACAAGGATTTTTTTGCAGCTTTTCGTGGCGAATTTTCTCGATATTTTGGCACGAGGAGATGATCGATATCCGTTATAAGTTCTTAAGAAACTTGGTCTTTTGTGATAGATTACCTTAATGGAACCAGATTTGCGAAGTATGGGTTTACGAAACGAGAACATGACTCGATCTGGCGATTGCAGATAACACGTACTTTATATCAATTTATATCAATACCTCGTTCGCGACCTCTCATCGAACTATCTTCACGTAGATTATTTCCATATAAAATGGATCACTTCTTCTCTTGCGATATAAGTAATCCTGAAATTTCTTAATCTACACAATTTCATTTCAACTACTATATACAGAGATCTCTCATCGAAAAGAGAGAAAAGAAAGAAAACAGAGAGTACTCGAAGAAACGTGCCTAAATTTCAGAATCATTTCAGAAAACATAGATCCATTACCTAGTATAATCTATTAATATAAATGTTAATCCTAATGGAAGATACTGATCAAGTCTATTTCCGACGAATTATTCATTACTTTATTCCACAATATAAAAGCACCAAGAAAAGTTAAAAACTAACCCAATAATTATATATATACGATTCGTTTTTTCCTTATTACACGAAAAAGAAAAGAAAAAAAAAAAGAAATATCTATCCACTGTTGATCGATTCTTCTTCGAACACTCTTACGAATCCCAACGGCACAACCAGACGAAATGACTCGTCTCACCAGACGAACATCAGTTTTCGGCCAATCGCATGAGGAGTCAATGAGGAGCGACCCGATTTCCAGGAATCCCTGTTCCGTTTCTTCTAAACGCGCCCGTGTTTCCTGGTACACCCCGCCATTGATAATCTAAATATAAACGCCACCAAGTCGGCCGTGTAGGAGGAAAGCGTGCCGCTCCCCGGTTGACCTCATCCGCGGGTTCTATAGGGTTATCGGCTTGTAACTCGCTTCCCTTATCGGTTATCATTGCCCCGTCGGCGCCGTGACCACCGAAAAAATGTACCCGTCGGTCTCACCGGTCAATTCAAACATGGAGGACACGGGTTTCTGAAGAATGTGCTACAATGTGCTTCTTTTTTTTTTTTTTTTCTAATATCTCGTAATATCTTGATTAGATAAAATTCTCTGAGTCTTGATTGTCTTTATTGAAGATAGGGAAGTTTTTTTTTCTTTTTTCTGAGGGAAGATGAGATAATAGGAAGTTTTATGATAGATTCAGGGTGAAAATTGGAAGAGATTGGAAAAGGTCAATTTTTTAACTTGTTTTCAACATTTTGGAGGATCGAGGGTAAGTGGATGGGGTTCAAGAGTTTTGTAAGTTTCAGATTACACGCCTAATTATTCGTGAGATGTATTGTGATTTGATTAGAAATGTGGATATATTTGTTTGAAAAGTTAATATGCAAACATATACACGAAATATACGGGATATAAAAATATTGCTATTTGGTGAGGATGAAACATATTCGTATTTGATTAAAGTTTCATTTTTTGTAAAGTTAAAAATTTGTTTGCGTTTAATTTTAATGTCTAAATTGGATAAATTGATACGAATATGAAGATGGAAATACAGAGTTTTTATTAATTGATTATAACGATGAATAAGAAAATGTGCAGAAATGAAACCAAAATAAAAAAAGGTATAAAAATTATCCAAACGTTGTAAAATAAAAATATCTTGTACACATTTTCTATATATATCTGTACGTAAAAAAAAATTAAAGATGGAAACGTTTAAAAAAAAGACTATTTCTCGATACGCTGATTATATTCGAATACAAGTTTATTTTTATGATTGGCCAACTCCGATCGATATTTTTAGTAAATGTACGACCAAAAGAGGATCCCGTTATCTCGCTTATCTTTGGGTCCTGAAGGAATCCAATAATTTTCGGAATCAAATTCCATGATCCCTCCTTGTGACTTCATAGAATCAGTAATATATTTCTTGTTTTTCCAAAGAATCCCATAAAAATCTAAAAATATTCTAAACTGATCTTTAAATGAATATCTCGGAAATAAGGTATTACAGACTTATTTTCTCTCTGTGCAACGAAGCTATAAATCAAATAACGTGGTATAGCACTTTCCAATTATAGATCATGAAATTTATTTCTTATGATAATGCTCTCCTAAAATACTTTACTGGCGCCTTTTGATCTAATTTTATTTATCTAAGGAAAAGAAAAAAAAAAAAAAAAAACACGGAATCTGTTGTTCGAACGGGAAAAAATGCAAAAGTAGATAAGATTGGTAATTGGAAAAATTGAAAAAGAGTTCTAATCTCGTTTATGATAAATTTAACTAACAAGATTTATTCGAATTTTCGAACGTCCTAAGATTCTATCCTTATCCAATTTATCAATTATAATACTATTCTATTTTTTCAAATGATATAAAAAAAAATTGTCAACAGATATAATATAATTTTTGTCATAATTAATTAATAATTTTAATTACGATATCTACGTTATCGAATATCAATTTGTGTCGTTGAAAGACGAATTATGCTTACTGAAGTGAAAAAAAAATCTTAGTAATTAAGTGAATCAACGTATGCATCTTTTGCATATAATCAATTTGTAAAGACTTGGAATGAGTCATTTGAAATAAAACATTACTCAATTTTTAGATCAATAAGAGACATATGTGCAAAAGATTTTAAGGACTCGCGGATTTATAATGGTTTTTCGGCGAAAGAATTGAAAATATATTGAGGGATGACGTGATGGTGTTAAAAACGACTATAAAGCATTTACAAGCTCATAACTTAAGGATATTAAAACGAGCAGAGAGTTAATAAAAATAGTATTTTATGACTACATGATTTTTTATACGTTAAAAGATTTATCTTATTTGACTTTTAAATATATGATTTATCGATTGTTAAATTTCTTTCATTTTAAAAATAAAATTTGTTTTATTATATTTTTCGCAAATTGACAAAGTGTGATCGATAAATCAAATTTCATAAATAATATTTCAAGTAATAAACTTTAATATATCTTTTTTTTGTATATTTCATATAATAATCACACATAATATAAAAATCTATATGATAAAAATACGATGAGATCATTTTTGTTGATTGCTGACTAAATTTTATATTACATAATTGAAAGAAATATTACATCGAAATTCATTTTTTATAAATAAATATTTTTTTCGAAAATTTCATCATTCCCTAAATTGAATTTGTATTTGGTATTATATAAAATTATGGTGTTAATAGTTAAGTTTAATCAATACGGCTTTAAAGAACTTTATTTACAATTTTTAGATAACAATTTAAAGATTTAATTTTTAAAGAATTATGAAAAGAAAGGAAAATTTTAAAAAATACAATTTATATAATATTTACAAAATTTCTACTTATATTTACTTTAATTACGAAAGAAGTAAAGAAAACAGATTTACTTTAAAAAAATATACACTTGTTGATATCAATTTCTGATAAAAAAATTGTTAATTTACCATGTTTCATATGCATGTATACGATGGAAGTGCAAGCGATAATCTTCTTACTGCGATATATTGCGCGTGATTTA